GGCTGGAGGCAATTCCCAGCAGCATATGGCCCAGGCCTTGCAGCAGTGCAGAGGTCCAACGGAGGAGCTCCCTGAAGGGCAGAGACAAGATGGAGTCAGATGGGTGGGGGAACCTGGGAGGAGGCCATCGAGGGGGTTTTCCACAAGGGAGAGCTAATGGGGTAGGTGAGTGCAGAAGGAATTAGGGGGGCTGCAACTGTAGGGGGTTGGGGAAACATGACCTGTTGGTCTCTGACCTGAGTACTTTCTTTGGGCCGAGTCCTTGAAAGTCACAACTCATGGAGTAGAGCCCGTAGAATGTGGCTTTGATATTGAGGCTGCCAAAGAGGTCTCGAGGGTTTTGCTTGTATACGTCGAAGGTGATGCGGGCGATGTCCTTGCTGTGCTTGGGCTTCTCCCGGCCCAGGCCATATGACAGCATGCCACTCTGTAGGGCACTTCCATCAGTACAGTGCACCCTCCCACCCTGGCACCCACCACTATTCCCCATCAGCACTAGGTCAGACCCACCCTCGCCTGGACCGTTTGACCCCTATAAGGTGTCCTTGGCAACTCCTCGCCTCTCCCAGTGGTGTCTGCCCCAGGATCATGGTTGGGCTAGAGAAGCTCGAGAGAGACTGGTGGCCGACAACAGCCCCACTGTGGCCTCTTACCCTGTTGGGGCTCCAGCTCTGCCCACACTCCAGCACCATCAGGCATGTGTCATCCTCCAAAAGCTGGAAGAAGTCCTCACTCTCCACAGCGGTCCCATCCTCCTCCAGCACCAGTGTTAGCATCCCTCTCAGCAGCAGGGCCTCCAGGGCCTGCCCAGCCACAGGAAGCAGGAGGGAGAAGGGGCAGAGCTTAGCCATGCCCCTCTCTCCCCAGCTACCCCACATCCATTGGTTGGCCCTAGATGCTGGCTGATACCCCAACTCTACTTCCTGGAAAATTGCCATCCCTTCAAATGGCTCCAGCTCTTGGTGTTCTTCAGTTGCTGGGGGACCCTCACTAAGGGCTGACTTCCTATTTGCTCCTATGTCATTGTCCACATCACTGTCTTCTCCCCTGTACCCCTTCGAGCCATTCCTATTGGTTTGGAATTGAAAAGCTTGCTTGCTTCTGTTGAGGTCCATCCTTCGGTCTTATCTCCAGTGTCCTACCTCACTGTCCCCACCCTCAGAGAGTCCTCTAGAACTGTTTTCAGTAATAATGACCCTTAACATTTTTGAGTCTTCACTAGTGTCAGGCATCTATCTATGTAGTCCTTTACACACACTGTCCTCTTTGACTCCTTCCAACAACTCTAGGAGGAAGGTGTGTCATTATTCCCTTTCTGTAGATGAAGAAACTGGTTTTGATAGACTGAACAACTTCCTACAGTTTGACACTAGCAAACCAGCAAGTCCTGATAGAATCAGGACTTGAACTTGATTTGTCATACAAATCAACACTCCATACTGACTTCTGAATGCCATCCCTGCAACCCTCCCTATCCACTCCTTCCTCTACCCCCTGGAAAAGAAATGAACTGACCTAAATACCGCATTGGTCATTGGGCTAACCGCCGCCCCCCTCCCCCCGCTTTTAGCCCTTAGAGGGAGGGGCAGCCATGTAACTAACCTCAGCCTTTCTGTTCACTCCAAGTTCTCACTCTTCTCTAGCACCCTGGCAGCCCCTGCAATAGGAACTTAGGGATTTGGCTCACTTACCTTGTCTACCAGTTCCTGGCGGGTGGCAGCTGTCAGACCTTTCCGGGTGGTCCGCTTGTGATCACAGACTCGGAAAGGTCGCTGGGGTGGTGGAGCTGAAGTCCAGACTTTCCGGCCAAACTCAGAGCTCATACTGGATACCGACCTGGTAGTTGGCAAGAAAGGTCAAGAACTGAGGAGTTTGGTGACTGCAGTGGGGATGACTGGGGATGGGGTGCTTGGAGAGTTAGGGAGGGATCTAGGTTTGGAGATCAGAGTAGCCTAGGGAGAGAGGGAGAGAGGAGGGGTGGTCAGTGGTGGTTCCATAGCTGGACAAGCCCACTGTGGAAAGTGGGGGCGGGGAAGGGAAGGGGTACGTGAGTCTCTGAGTCTCCTAGGGGGCTGAGTGGAATTTTGTTGCCCTGCACTATCCTCAGAGTTGGGGGGTAGAGAGGAAGGTTAGAAATCACCTGAGCAGACCGCTGGGGTTTAGGGATGAGAAGTACTCCATGGTGGAGGGAAGGAGCAGGAGAGTTGCCTCTCCCAGTGAGTTCTAGGCTGGGTGGTTCTCCGCTGTGCTGGGGCTGAAGTGGTGGTGTTTTCTGTTACAGAGCTGGGATCTCAGCCCCAGTGAGGCAGGGGATGAGTCACCCCGGACTCTGGCCCCCCCTGCCAGGCCAGTAAGAAGGGCAAAGTCGAAGGGGAGGGAAAGGGGAGGGGCCTAGATGGGATCGTGGAGGAGGGATGGAGGTCCAGAGTTGCCGCAAAAGTCACAGAAGCTTGGGTGTGTGTGTGTGTGTGTGTGTGTGTGTGTGTGTGTGTGTGTGTGTGTGTGTGGTGTGTGGTGTGTGTCTGGTGGCGGCGTGTGCTGAGGATAAATGGGAATGGTGTAAGAGGATGGGATGGGATGTGATCTCTGGTCTTTTTCTTTCTATGGAGAGAATATCTAAGGATAGTTTTGGGCTCCCAGTCCTTGAGAAGTTGCATTATGTGGGATTTGCACTGAACTTGCCGCCACCTACTGTGAAAGCCACAAACTGCAGCTTTAGCAAAAGGGAGGCCAGGCTGAGGGTGGGATTGTGGGCAGGGCTTGGACATAATGAAGGGTAAGGCAGTGTGCCAGGGTGGGCGGTGAGGGGAGGATGGATCCTGCTGCACGGATCCAGGATTACCAGGATCCTGGCAGGGACCATGGACTTCCTGCTTCCCTGTTTCTTCCTCCCTGATCTAGGGGAGGGACCGGCTTTGTTCTCCAGAACTGCTTGCTTTATTTTTTTTTTTTAAAGATTTATTTATTTATTTATTTATTTATTTATTTATTTATTTATTTATTTATTTATTTATTTATTTGAGACAGAGAGCACATGAGACGGGGGAGGGTCAGAGGGAGAAGCAGACTCCCTGCTGAGCAGGGAGCCCGATGCGGGACTTGATCCCAGGACTCCAGGATCATGACCTGAGCTGAAGGCAGTCGCTTAACCAACTGAGCCACCCAGGCGCCCCAGAACTGCTTGCTTTAGCCACACTGGACTGGTCACTTTCTCTCTCACCTTTCTCTTGGCCACTTAATGGGCACGAAGGAGATGTGAAAGGGGGGGTGTCCTTTGAAGACACTGAGACTAGCTTTTGGTGCCCTGAGTCTGCTCTGATTTCAGCGACAGTTGTGGTGGACATTTGTCTGGAAGCTCAGACTCTCACTAAGGCTGAACCCATCACATGAGTGTGAATCTCTGCTTTCCTGCCTCGGGGTCCGAAGCTATGGCAGCCCACTCAGACTCCTGACAAGTATAGGCTGCAAATGTGTATAATACCTCTGGGACAGCCCTCAGACCATGGGGAATACAAGCTGGGCACCAGTGTCCCAGTCTTCTGTCTTTCTGGAAGGTGTTCTGTGTACCTCTGAGAGCTTCCTGATCCCTACTGAAGAGACCCAACAACATATTCTTCCTGGCTCTCTTTTTCCCTCTTCTGCTCCGCTCCCTCACTCCTGTTTCCAGAGCTGACCTGCCAGATGCAGGATTACCTGTACCCAAGCCCTTAATTCAGGCTGTGCTTTGGAAGTAACCCAAACTGAGACAATCCTGGCGTCCTGGCTCCTTGGGAGCCCCCAGTTCCAGCTGTTGACGGGGCAGGGATCTTTCCCCTTACCTCCACCTTCTCAGTGTACCAGGGCCCCCTAGAATGTCTTCATTTCCAGGCTTTGCCTGACTTCTTCACCCAGAGAAGCCTTCTTGTCGGTATGTCTCTACCAATGCACCGATTCTTTTCTTATCTTGTATCCTGGTGCAGCTCGGCAGTAGGGTCTCTTGGAGGTTGTGTGTTATGATTCCTCAAGGAGGTTATAAGCCCCTTGTACCTCCATGCATCCTCCAGAACTCAGCACCGTGACTGGAAGCTGTAAATGACAGCCCAGTGAGAGCACCCCCCACCCCGGGGAGGGGGGGGACGACTGGGGCAGGGCCTAAGGTAAGAGATGAGAAGAGTAGGTAGGAAACTGAGGGGAAAGGGGGCTCACCTGGATCAGAAGTCTGGAAATGGGCCAAGACAGAGCAGCTGGGGGAAGGAGTAGTTTGGGTCACCTTCTCTGCTGAGTGCCGGCCAGGGAAGCCTGAGAGCATGTAACAGGCGGGTGGCAGGGTTGGGACAACTGGGGCCAGAACTGGGGGGAGGCATGAGTGCAGATGCAGGACCCCGAGTCAGGCAGGACTCAGCAGTGTCCCTACTCACCTACATGATCTGGGAACCTTATCTGTACCCTGCAGCTTATCCTGTTTCCTAGGGAGGCGGACTCTCACACGCCTGGGCATGTTAGTGATGGGAAAGAGTAGAGTGCCGGAGGGGCCCCAGTGAGAGGCCCGAGAAGAGCCCCACCTTGTCCCTCCCCCTTCTCGTCTCACACTGCAAACCTGACAAGCACAGGTTAGGAGTAGGCACCTCTCCTGCTGCTGCTGTGCCTTTCAGCTTCCCAGCTTCCTCGTGGGCCCACCATCCTTCTAGCTCCCGGCTGGGTAAGTAGCTCTGCTCATGCACGTTGACTTCCCACCACTCACGTCCCGCTGAGGTAGAAGCAATGGGGCTGGACAAAGGAGGGGCCCAACTAAAGGGGGTGGAGGTGGAGGTCACGAGAGTGGGAACCGGGAGCCAGGCCTGGGGAGGTCAGCTGACCGACAGCAGGGCATTTGGGTTCCAAGAGTTGGGGCTAGGGTCCGCCAAGAAGTAGTGTTTGAGTCAAGGCTCCGAGACGGAGGACAGGGAGGTGGGAGGAGACAGAGTCCCTAAATGCCTTCTATGGCCCTTTCCGTCTCCCGCCCCCCCCCCGTCCCCCCTCCCCCCGGTAGGCGCAGAAGAATGTTGGCCTGCTACCGGCCCCCGGGGAACGAGACGCTGCTGAGCTGGAAGGCCTCGCGGGTCACGGGCACGGCCTTCCTACTGCTGGCGGCGCTGCTGGGGCTGCCCGGCAATGGCTTCGTCGTGTGGAGCTTGGCGGGCTGGCGGCCCGCACGGGGGCGACCGCTGGCGGCCACGCTCGTGCTGCACCTGGCGCTGGCCGACGGCGCGGTGCTGCTGCTCACGCCTCTCTTCGTGGCCTTCCTGGCGGGGCAGGCGTGGCCGCTAGGCCAGACGGGCTGCAAGGCCGTGTACTACGCGTGTGCGCTCAGCATGTACGCCAGTGTCCTGCTCACCAGCCTGCTCAGCCTGCAGCGCTGCCTGGCCGTCACCCGGCCGTTCCTGGCGCCCCGGCTGCGCAGTCCGGCCCTGGCCCGCCGCCTGCTGCTGGCCGTCTGGCTGGCCGCGCTGCTGCTCGCCGTCCCGGCCGCCGTCTACCGCCACGTGTGGGGAGACCGCGTGTGCCAGCTGTGCCACCCGTCGCCGGCCCACACCGCCGCCCACCTGAGCCTGGAGACGTTGACGGCCTTCGTGCTCCCCTTCGGGCTGGTGCTCGGCTGCTACGGCCTGACGCTGGCGCGGCTGCGGGGCGCCCGCTGGGGCGCCGGGCGGCACGGGACGCGGGTGGGCCGGCTGGTGAGCGCCATCGTGCTCGCCTTCGGCTTGCTCTGGGCCCCCTACCACGCGGTCAACATTCTGCAGGTGGCGGCCGCGCTGGCTCCGCCCGGAGGGGCCCTGGCGAGGCTGGGCGGGGCGGGCCAGGCGGCGCGGGCTGGAACTACCGCTTTGGCCTTCTTCAGCTCCAGCGTCAACCCGGTGCTCTACGTCTTCACCGCCGGGGATCTGCTGCCCCGGGCAGGCCCCCGCTTCCTCACGCGGCTCTTTGAGGGCTCAGGAGAGGCCCGAGGGGGCGGCCGCTCTAGGGAGGGGACCATGGAGCTCCGAGCTACCCCTAGGCTTAAAGTGGTGGCGCAGGGCCGGGGCGATGGAGACCCCGGGGGCGGGGTGAAGAAGGACAGTCAGGGATGGGAACCTTGACACCAAACCCTACAACCGGGCCTGCCTCTTCCCTGACCCCTTCCATCGTCCCTCCCCCAGAACTCAGGGAACCACTCTGGAGCGTTTGGGGACCCTTCTCTGGCCACAGTTTGGATCTTTCTGGGCAGAATTATTATACCCCTGGGGCAGGCCCAGGTACCTCCAAACAGAGGGACTGCAAATGGTGATGGTACTGTGTGCTTGCAGGTTGGCATGTGCCTCTGTGCCAGAGATGCTGACTTGCTGCCAAGAGCTACTGTGAAATACACTGGGGGGGGGGCGGCATTACATGATGGTATAAGCATGCCCCCACTGGTAGTTCATCATGCCTGAGTTGTACTGAAGCCACCTGGTTCTCTCCTGGGTCAGCCCAAGGTGGGCACTGCCAGCCTTCAGTGGCATCTTGACTTGTCCTCCCCAGCCCAGGTAGCCTGGGTCTCCCAGGCCAACCTATTGAACCACTCTGGAAATAAAGGGAGAAAGCGGAAGGAAAGGTATGGGTGCTTGAATGAGGGATGGGGGTGGGATCCATTCTCTGGGGTCTGCAAGAGCCGAGTGGAGAAAAACCTGGCTCTGGAAGGGGAAAGATAATCTGTGGGGTTTGAGAGGAAAGTTTTCCTGTCTTGCAGTTGGTACAGCGGGGGAAGGAGCCCTGGGCATCAGATTTGTCTTCCTCTCTGAATCCAACTCTTCCCCCAAAGGTCACCTGACTCAAAAAGGAGCCCAGGAGCAGGCACATGCTCACCCCTGGGGACGTTTGGGGCTTGGAGCTGAGCAAGAATGGGGAATGATGTGGATGGCTGGAGGACAGGAAGAGTTTTTCAGGGAGGTGCCCCCTCTCCTTTGTCTCCTTTTTCTTTCTGCCAAATCTTGACTCCTCCCAAGACTGCTAGCTGTTGCTCAGCACCCTCCAATACTTCTTGGCCCCCATTTTTTGGAGTCTCTCCATCTCTAGGTCCTAAAGCTGTTCTGGATCCCGACACTTTTGAGTTTGAGGATGTAGGATAGGATTCTTTATTAGAGGGTGTCCACGTGCACACACATGTGGTCACTAGTGTGACCGACTCGTCCTGGTTTGCCCAAGGCTTTCCCAGTTTTAGTGCTGAACATCTCTTGTCCCAGGCCTCTCAGTCCCTGGCAAACTTTGATGGCCGTTTACGTGAGTGCTCCCTCGGGACCATCACCCCAGGTTCTGCATTAGTGACTGTTTACACCACCCAGGCAGAGGCCGAGAAACAACAAAGGAAATTCAGTCCTCAGGGTCATGCCAGGGCCACCCAAACTGGGGTGGAAGTGGAGCTCTGGATTTGGGGGGCAGGAAGTATGCTTAGAGCATCTAGTCTGGGGTGGAGGAAGAAAGGCCATTGAGAGACATGGAGGTGGGGAGTAGTTTGGGAGAGGAGGCAAAGACAACCCAGCTTCTGCCAGAAGGAGCCTCTGGTTAACCCTGGAGCTCTGAGCCAGAACTTTCATCCCCAAACACCGACCGCAGGGGCTTCTTTCTGTTCTCATGTGCCGGGGCAGAGGCTCCCCAACTTCCTCTCTTCCATAGTCCGCGTCTCACAATATCTGTGGTCAGAAAGCCCTTCCTCAACTCTGCCTTCTTGCTGCGGTTTCAGCCCATTTCTTTGCATCACATCCTCTGCCTCACAGCTGCTGGGTCTGCTCTGCGCTGGACTTTTCTCAAAGCAGAGAAAGTGGGCACGCTGTGAAGGGTGAGGGACCGCAGTGACCACCATCACATGCCACGTCTTTCCTGACAAGTGACAGAGTTGGCAGGGAAGCAGGAAGGCTCACAGTCAGACTGAAGGAAAGACTTCTCAGATCTTAGCCCCTGCAGGAGAGGTCACAGGGGGAGACTGCCCTCCCTCCAAGAAGGGAGAAGAGTGACCATTTGGGAAGGCTGTTCCTCTTTGCACATTCCTGGTTGCCCCTCCTGGCAGGGCAGGTGTGAGGCATCACTGCCCCCACCTCCTCTTCCTGTGCTCAGGCTCGACCTTTTCTGTGTGTCTGAGGTGGGACTGGACAGCCAACTATGGGAAGGTACGATAGAGAGGGCGCCAACCTCTTTGCCCAGTGCCCAGATCTTAAATCCAAATTCATGTGGCAGGCAAGCCACATAGGCAAGTGTAAGGCAAGTGGCTGGGGAAGGGCGGAGAAACTGGCATTCTGTGCGATACTAAGGAGATCCTTTGGACTTTGGCTTCTGCCAAAGGGAAGGGAGAACTGACTGACCTAGAGCTGAAGCAACCCTTTTAAGTGAGGGAATAGATTTGGGTGCTGAAAGAGGGACCTCCCCCTCCCCCTCCACTCCTGGCTTGAATCCAAGCCAAAGACAGGGTGCTGTCCTCTTTAAGTCCTGATGTTACCTAAACCCAAACCCATAACGGAGCCACAGGTCTAACCTACGCTTCCTATTGATCTAAGAATCTACATTATTTACACAACGTATAAAGATACCCAACGTTCCTGCCTCTCCATCTGAGGCCATTTCCCTTCTCTGGCTTCCCTCCCTCCTCCTGTATGACAGTTTATTACTCTGTCCAGTTCTCCAGTCTAGACCTGCATCTGGGGCCACACCCCAGCCTACTCACTCCCCTCACCCCCCCTTTCCTCTCATTGCACTTTCCTGGGCTCTTCTCATCTGGTCCCACCCATGAGGAGTCTTTCTCCCTGCTAGGCTCTTCTGGAACACAAAGACTATCTCCCCCCCTCCCCCAGTGAAGGGAGGGCTAGGAGTTTCAGCCCCACCCTCAGGAAGATATGCCTTCCCCCTCCTCTGCTTCTTGGTACTTCCTCTCTGGCAGACTTAGCTGACAGCACCCAGACCTGGGGCTGGGACCCTGGAACTGGGGCTGACCTGGGGATAGGCTGCGCCACTCTGCCCTGACCTTGGGATTGGCACCAGCTTCCAACCGGTACCCGGCAAAGCCTGGAAGTAAGTACCCTGGGAGCAGGGGAGGTAGGGGTGGGGCAGGATACAACCGTGAGAGAAGGTGCAAAGGAATTTCCAAAGAAAGCCTGACCAGTGGTAAAAGGACCAGGGAGGACTTGTTCTTGTCTCCTATCCACAAACTCCTCCCCATCCCTGTTATTCCTGGTGGGCCCTGGGCAGCTCTGGAGAGAGTCGGTAGGTGACTGGAGGAAGTCGACGGGACTGAGGGGGCTAAGGGCCTGGCAGGTGACAGAGGAGCTAGGCTTTTGAGGGGTGTAGCTTTGGTAAGGAGGGCCCCCCGCCCTGTTTGGTTCTGGGTCTCAGAAGGGAAGGAAGCAGAAAGGGTATGGAAATGCTGCTGCTGTAGCTCTGTATTTGGCAGTTGGGTCTGTGGGCAGGAAGGAGCCCCATCGTCCAGTTAGAAACCGGTCTTTGTGCTCTGCCAGATCCCCTGAAGCCAGGTCCGTTGATGAAGGGATGAAGGCAGTTTACTGCAGAGGTGCATCTACTGCTGCTGATCTTGGAGACGGGCCAGAGTCCTCAGGCTAGGTGTGTCCAGGGCAGCAGGAAGCCTCGGGCCCCCTACCCTCATGCCTGTGTTCGCCCTCACTCTCCAGGTCCTTGCAGTGGCCACGGACACTACATCTGGGGCAGTACCTCTTCACTAGGGGTCATGTTCATCGTTCCGTTGACTATCATCATACTGTCAGTGGCGCTGGCTGTGGGGCTTCCTGGTAACAGCTTTGTGGTGTGGAGCATCCTGATAAAGATGCGGAAGCGCTCTGTCACAGCCTTGCTGGTGCTGAACCTGGCCCTGGCGGACTTGGCTGTATTGCTCACTGCCCCCTTTTTCCTGTACTCTGTGGCCCGCAGCACCTGGGTGTTTGGACTGGTTGGCTGCCGCCTGTTTCACTATACCTGCGGAGTCAGCATGTACGCCAGCGTCCTGCTGATCACGGCCATGAGTCTGGACCGCTCGCTGGCGGTGGCCCTCCCCTTTGTGTCCCAGAAGTTTCGTACCAAGGCCGTTGCCTGGTGGGTGCTAGCAAGCATCTGGGTGATGTCCCTTCTGCTGGCCACACCCGTCATCATGTACCGCACACTGCACAACCAGACCCTGTGCTTGCCGAAGTACTCCACCGAACGAGCCAAGGCATTCCATCTGCTCTTCGAGGCCTTCACCGGCTTCCTGCTGCCCTTCCTGGTGGTGGTGGTCAGCTATTCGTACATCAGGCGCAGGCTGCAGGCCCGGCGCTTCCGCCGCAGCCGCCGCACCGGCCGCCTGGTGGCGCTCATCATCCTGGCCTTCGCCGCCTTCTGGCTGCCCTATCACGTGGTGAACCTGGCCGAGGCCGGCTGGGCGCTGGCGGGCAGGGGGCCAGAGCCGAGGGGACACCCGCTGCTCCTGGCGCGCTACGTGTTCATCGCGCTGGCATTCCTGAGCAGCAGCGTGAACCCCGTGCTGTACGCGTGCGCCGGCGGCGGCCTGCTGCGCTCGGTCGGCGTGGGCTTCGTCGCCAAGCTGTTGGAGGGCACCGGCTCCGAGGTGTCCAGCGCCCGCCGCGGGGGCACCCTGGGCCAGACGGTGAGGGGCGCCTCCGCCCCTTCCGAGGCCCGCCCCTCCGAGAGCCTCGCGGACTCCATCGACGCTCTCCAGTGAAGCGAACTGAACTAGGCCTGGGGGTTGCTGGTGGAAGGACGCCGGCTGTCCTCGCGGCTCGGCTGGGGCGAATGCTCCCCACGTAGGCCTGACCAGTTTACCCCCAGGCGGAGGCGGAGGAGAACCGCGAGGAGGATGGAGCGGAGGAGGAGGGAGGGGCGGGGCAGGTAAGGGCGGAGTGAAAGCCCGGAGCAGCTTTGCAATTAAAACTGGTCTCACGTTGGGTCAGCCCTGTGTGTGGGGCACGTGCATTAGGGGCGAGAGGCGTGCTCCGGGGCGCTCTTGCGGCGGTGGGGGGGTGAGGTCCCTCTCAACAGTTGAGAGGCACATCCTTTAGTTTCCAGTGATTTTCAGTTTGGGAAGGGACACAAAGATAGAGAACCCAGAACCCCCTCTCCTGCCCCATTCTGAGGCAGGTGCTCTGCAGGTAATACTTAGAGCAACACAGGGCTACAGACCCCTGAAGGAGCTGACCAAGGAAGACCACTCATGTGGCTTATCACTCCAGACTCCCTGAATCAGCAGATGTTCTGAGTACACTTAGCACTGCTGTGGGACCTCTACCCTGAAGCTTGTGATAGGTATCACTGTTACCATGACTCCAACTTCCTGCTACTCATCTTTGTCCTTTCAGTGGGCAATGTTCTAGGGGACGCCTTCCTTCCCTCCATCTCCCAAGGAGGTCTCCCCTGAAAACAAAGTCATCAGGTTTGGGCCCTGGAATTCTGCACGTCAGCTTTCTGCCAGCACCCAAAATACACTCTGATGCCCTCTGTGACCCTGGTCACTCTTAGGAAATTAAGATTCCCACAAGTGAGAGGGTTAAGTCATTCTTTCTGAGGGATGACTGTTTTAGACAGCCTCAGACTGGCTCTGTTCCAACAGCATTTTAGGAAGATGGTAGCAGAAGTGGCTGCAGAGTACTTTTTGAATCTCTCCCATAAAGAAAGAGCAACTAGGAGAAAAACCAAGAATCCATGTGCAACATCTGTAACAAACCTAGGGTGTCAAGATATCGCTCACAGACCCCCAAATTTGAGCAAGCAGGAATGAACCAGGGATGCTTCAAGACCCCCATAATATTAGCACCTGCACAGAAGGATGCAGAAGGAAGCAAGGGGGCATCTGAGGGACCTGAGAACAAGAGAATCCCAACACTGTCTACAGGTCTTGGCTGGAAAGCATGGGTCAATCTGACAGCAGCAGCTGAAAACAGGGAGGGACCTGACAGATCATTTCCCAGGCCTCTCACGCCCATGCTGCCTAGGAAGCACAGAGTAAGTGCTTACTTAGTGTTTATTGAATGAATAAAGGTCAAATGACATTTTCCTAGCCATTCCTTCCCAATATTTGTGGGTGGGGAGCAGGAAAGGACAAATCCTTATTTTGAGTCATGTGGCTAAAATTCTTTACACTTCCGAGGTGTACAAAATACTGGAATCAGGCAGGGTGGCTGAGGCAGCCCTCTTCCTGAGCTTGTGAAGAATCACTCCTTTCTAACATACTCATGATCACACTTGCATACACAACTCAGTTTAGCTTGGGAAGAAGTATCCTGTTGAGAGGCAAGGAGAAGGTGATCCGCAGCTATACCAGAAGCTTCTGACATCGATTGGCTCCAGTCATACCAGAGTCTTTTTTTTTTTTTTTAGAGAGAGAGGAAAGAGAGAGCGAAGGGGCAGAGAGAGAGAGAGAGAATCTCAAGCAGGCTCCACGCTCAGTGCAGAGCCCAAAGCAGGGTTCAATCTCACGACCCTGAGATCATGACCTGAGCTACAATCAAGAGTCGAACGCTCAACCCACTGAGCCAGCCAGGTGCCCCCAGAGTCTTTTTATTGAGGATCTTAGAATAGAGAGGATGGGGGTCTCAGCTTAGGGTGGCCGAAGGAGGGCCAGTTCGTGTCAAATCTGTGTTCAGGAAGTAGGTGCAGAGCTGCCCTTTGCCTTTGACCTTGATGATGCCCCGGCTGTAGCAGGTATAGCCTAAGGACTGCAGCACCCGGGCTGTCTCTTCAGTCACCTGGGATTGAAAGGGTGTGAGCCTGGAGTGTGGGGGTGGCCCTATCCTATCCCCCCACCCCATGCCTCCAATGTGGGCTCCTCACTTGGATCTTGCCCAGGACTCCTGTACTCTCCATGCGGCTGGCCACATTCACCGTGTTGCCCCAGATGTCGTACTGAGGCTTCTGGGCCCCAATCACTCCGGCTACTACAGGTCCATGGTTCAACCCTGACAAGAAGTGTGGTCAGGAGGAGCCCTGGGAGGTGGCGGGGGGGTGGGGTTTAAGGAGGGCGAGGGGAGGAGCAAGCTCCAGGACTCAGGGGGAAGGCCTGGAGGTCTTAGAGGAAAGGAGGATGGGTTTGGAGGGGTCTGGCTTAGGGAAGGGGTGGCTGAGCCCCAGAGCTCCTGGCCCAGCAGCTTCATGCTCCACCCCCAGGGATGAGGCTGGTGACAGGGGGGGTCCAGGGGTGAGCTGGGGAGTGGCTAACAAAGGACTCTGGGGGAGGAAGAGCCTGAGAAGGTGAAGAGGAACTGCCCCAGCAAGGGAGGGCCCTCACCCACACGCAGGCGGAAGTCGTTGAAGGAGTGCTTATTGATGACATCCAGCTTCGATCCAAGGGCCACTGCAAACTCCACCATGGTGCCGAGGTGGCTGCAGCTTCGCTCAGCATCCTAGCAATGGGCCGGCCCACCACCATGGGTCAGTGAGGGCCCAGGAGCGCAAGCCCAGATGGGCGCTGGTGGGTAAGGAAGGGATGCTGTACCTGCTGTGTGTCCTGTCCGGAGGTGGCATTTAAGCCTGTGGCTGCCATGTAGGTGCTGCCGATGGTTTTGATCTTCTCCACCCCACTAAACTTGGGCTTTGAGAGCAGCTGTACAGAAAGGAGGCTGTGTCCCCAGGCTTTCTTGCTCTCTCCCTCCTCCCTCTCAGAAGCCCAGCCCCAGGCCTTTGGAGACGAAAGGACCAGGTTGTGGGGTCAGGGAGCGTGGCAGGAGGGAGAGTGGATTGTGGGAAGAGTTGCTGGAGAGCTGGGGGATCAGAGGAGGAGTGGCAGGGCCAGGGAGAGGAGGATGGGCCCCTGGCTGGAGAGTAAGTGGGCAGGAGGGACTGATGGGAAATTCTAGCATCCAAGACAAAGGGTCTGGGGGACCCTTGGAGTTGTCACCTCGTCAAAGTCAGCAATGATCTCATTGAGCAGCCGCAGACACTCTAGACCCTCGTGGTTGATGTTGGATTCAGAGTAAAACTCCTTAAAGTCTGGAACTGAGGCGAAGAGGACACAGACACACTCGTAGGACTGGTGGTAGAGGTCCTGGAGGGTGGGAGGCTGGGATGAGGGAGCAAGCCACGTTCTTCCCCCTGCGGTCTGCATGGGCCCTCCTCCCTGTGTCCATACTCTTGCCCCTCCATTTAAGGACTGGAAAGGAGGGAGAGGGGTAGGGCCAGGTTACCCCAGGGATGTGTGACTCAGGAGTCGAAGATCGGGTCTCATTATGATTCCAGGAAGGACAGGGGTTTGGAGTCAGGATCGCCTCATAGCAACGTGAAGGGAGTCTCTTCAAGAACTGGGATCATGTCGGTGGGGATGGTCTTTCTAACCTACCTTACTGCTGAAGGGTGTTAAGCCAGTTAAGTCAGTTTACAAAGGTAGCTACAATTTGGAAGATAAAATAATAGGGGAAGTGGGACAAAGGGAAAATAAAGGTAAGATAGTAAAGATGGAATCCTATTTGAAGTTGGTTCACAAAAGGGGTGACACGAAGTCCTTGTTAGGCCTAGGTTCTGGCTCTGGGCTTTCTAGCAGCCGGTGTGAAGACAGAAACGGGACTAGTTATGAGAGTCCCAGTGTAAATAAGAGAAGACACCAGGAGAAGTAGATCTACCGGTGACTTTGAGTGCAGAGAGCAACTGCTGGCGGCATAAAGCTGTGAAATAGCCCCTGACCTGTTTCTTTTCACATTCCTCAGGACAGGCCAAGAGTGTCTCCATAGCAGACAGGGAGTACAGATAAAACGGGGCCAATATGTGGGTGACCTTCTCTGATGGTCTGACTAGAGCACGTTTGAGGGTGGAGATGAACATCTACCAATGGAAATTCCTGTGGTGTTGGAAAGTTCTCTGTATGTGATGTCCGATATGGTAGCCACTGGCCATAAGCAGCTCGTAGACACTTGAAGTGTGGCCGGTGAGGCTGAGGCCCTGAACATTCTATTTGAATTAATTTAAATGTTAAGTGGCCACACATGGCTACTGGCTACCATCCTGGATAGTGCAGGTCCAGAGGGCTGGGTGGACTGGGTGTCCTCCACACAACTCCCATCAACACTCGAAGAAGCTTCTGGGAGGTATGGAGGGGCCATGGGTTGGAGAAGACATGCCTTCTAAGTAAGAACTTGGAACACAGGGGTTCTGTGCTCAGCAGACGAAGCCTAAGAGCTTATGAAGATGGAGGCACCTACCTGACAGGGACAGGGACCCGGGTGGCCACCCAACCCACTGTGGGGGGGCCAGAGACGATGGGCCGGGGGCCAAGATTTCCATCCGAAATTAGTGTCTATGGCATCTGGGGCTCAGGAGTCGGGGGCGGGGCAGTCACCTCGTTGCGCCGGTTCTGGCCAATGAACTGGGGGGCCACGTGCGCAGGGAGCACATTCTCCAGCAGTAGCCGTGTCAGGTTCTCCATTGTCTCTGTCTCCTCCTGCTCCTGCCGCAGCTTCTTCTGCCACAGGAAGTCCAGGCGGCAGTAATACTCATTCTGGCAGGGTCACCAGGGGCCCCAGGGGAGACACAGTGCAGGGGGAGCCTCAGCTCCTGAGTGTTCACCCTCCCCCCCCGCCCCCCTCGCTCTCCATGATGCCTCAAACCACACCACTCCCCAGTCTGGAGAGAAGGCTCAAGGGCCAACTCTCCCTGGGGAGGCTACCTTGAAACCAGATTCAAACTAGGGAAGACAGAATTGGCAGCAGATTCTTTCTCAAGGGTGGTTTTCCTGGACGT